AAGTACTTTAAAACATATAAATAAGTTACCCGGGCAATTGATTTACATCAGCCAATCAGACGAACTTCTTCCTATGACTCCTGGTACCCACGGTTGGGTCCTTTTCCCCTGGTTACTCTCCCGATAGCCTGGTTGGTAGAGTGTCTTGCCAAACACTTCGGTTCCGTTCAGTTTATCAGTTTTTCAGCTGGTTATCCTTTACGCAGTACCGTCAAAAATCTGTGCTACCTCTCTATTCAGGATTTGCCAAGCGGGCTTCCATATACCCCGAGCCCCTGGATTTACACAGGTGCTTCACTCGGAGTTCGTGTAACTTATATATCACACTATTATTCCACATTCTTCCAGTACAAGCTGATATAACCAAAGTTACAGGTGTTACCTGTCAAATTATATACAGTCCACTGATCGCATTCTGTAAATTCGAATTTTCGCCTTCGGTGGGATTCGAACTCTTGTCTTGCCACTTGGGGGTGTGACAACTTACCCACTACACTAAGTCACCACATCCTCAAGATAAACTTTTAGTATATATAATGAATCAAATATTAAACTAATCTTTTTTATATTATTACTAACACCTAAATTTAGATGAGCTCTAGTCACTTCAGTTAGATTAGACTACAGATAAACTAGTCTAAGTTTTTATTCTTTCTATAATATTTTAAAAGTAGATTAATATTTTATATAAAAATCTTAATTAAATATTCAATAAAGATAGAGATATAGCTATAGCTTTATCATTAATATTAAAAAAAATTTAATTAATACTTTAACTATTAAAATTTGATAATATTATAGTATAATATTGATTATATATAGATCTTGTTTTTTTTTTTTTTTAAAATTAAAGCGAGGTCATGCTTCTCGTCTTTATTAATTCTTTAAGTATTATACATTTCATATACAATCTTACTTATTAAACTAATTTCTGACTCAAGACTCAGACTACTTTATCCATGACCATGACCTACCAAAGTATTCTGTATCCCACTTACATCTTTATCTGGATTTTGTGCTTTACAACTAACTAATTCTAGTTACCCAACTGTATTCCCTCTATGACTCACAATCAAACCTCAGTAACTCCCAATTTGGTTCACTCAGGTTATCGGTCCCTAAAGGCCTCCCAGATTGGTATGCCTGCAGCAGGAACAAAACCCACATTGGCAACTACTCCATGTCCACCTTTTACCAGTTCTTGTCCATCTCTGCAGATCTTAATGTTCCTTTTTTGGTATTTTATGTGCTGTATAACTTATCTGTCCCTTTAAGTACTTCCTGTTATGGTATTCGTTAAGAACTTGTTTCGAGATATATCTCTTTTAGCCATAGACCTCTGTTATACATATTGTATAACTTCCAGCTTGGGGTATCTCAACCCTGGTTGGTGTGGTATTCATACTGGTAAATTCTTAACTCTTTTCATCATAGACTTCCATATAGGTGCGACCAGAGTCTGATTTGGTTCCTTTAGTTGTATAGGGACAAGTTACACCCTCTACGCCAAGTAACTTTCTTAAATTAGTTGTTCTACAAAGCCAGAGGTGCTTTCAATTCCAGTTAAGGTATGATCCTTTACTACAGCCCATAGTCATGTATCACCGCTTCTCTCACTACTTTAGTTTAGCTACTATTGTATTACCCTTCCATGCAAGTACCCCACAAGTTGGATGCAGGGATGTTGGTACAGCCTCCAGGTCACCCCAACCGAAGGACTAATTCGCGCGATCTTCATGTAACCTAACCTTTTGTGATATCGCACTACACGTAGTGCCTACGCTTCATGACCTGGTCTCCTTCTGGGAACTTCTTATTCTGGTTTCGTACTGCACTTGGACTTTCCACAGGGCTTCGCATTCGATTTAATGACTCCCGTAGGTTATAGAAGCAAATTTTATTAAAATTTGCCTCCAGCCTGACTCGAACCGTTGACCTAGTCTGTGGAGGTTTGGAAGCTTAACTGCTAAGCTATGGGACCCAAACCCCTATATATAAATCTTGTTAATAGATATAGTACTTTTTAAATTAGTATATTACAAAATTGGGTATTGAAACTTTTAAGTTTTTTATACTAAAATTATTTTCAAATTGAGGATATTTCAACCACCTTTAGTGCTTACTAATATTAATATTTTTGTAATATATTTTGTATTATTACTTCTAGTTAGATATGATCTTGCTATTACTTGTCTATTTTAAACATTTTCTAAATTGTTTATTAACATTTATACTGGGTAGTTTCTTTTTTATTAATTAGTAATACAGATATCAGAGATGCTTTTAATTTTGATAAAACTATTTTTTTTTATAAACTATCCTTATATTCATCACTTTACTCACTACTTCAATTTAGTTATTAAACTACCCTTTAAACAAGTATCTACAAGTTGGCTGCAAAAAAGTTGATACTGCCTTGTTTTGCTATACAAAGTCTTATTTGTATAGCTAACCAAACCTTTTATAACACTACTATTATATAGTATATAATGCTTAAACTCTATAATTAGAACTTCTTTCAAAAAATTTTTTTTTTTTTTTTTTTTTTTTTTTTTTTTTTTTTAAGGTGTTCTTCGAGACCGAGCTTTATTGATGTTTAACTGTTGACCACGTGGGTCTTACATTTAGTATTACAACAAGAGTACAACTAGCCACACGTATAACTTTTGATTGCCTATTTAAGTAGTCCGCCTGAAGGTTCTACACTAGATGCTATGCCTATAATCTGACTAGGTGATTATCTATTTAAACACTTTGATCGTATATACCCACCAATTATTCTAAGCCAGGTACCTTTATACCGAAGTGCCCCCACTCACTTACCTGAGTTTGGTTACCCCGCTGGTTTCCCTAGGGTTCCCACAGGTGGGCATAGTGGCTGCCTTCCTAATTCTTCTATGTCTCACACATTTCTAAATTAGGTTCAGAGAACCTGTTTACTATGGCCGAGACCAACACTAGCGATCAGAGCTAACCATTAAACTGCACAATTCCTGGTTTCCCTGCCCTTGCAAGGTTCATTCCAATCCTGATACCTACATCTACCTTCCTTCTGGTCCTTATACCGATCCTTCCCAAACTTCCAAACCAGTTAGCCCGGATAGGTTGGTATACCTAGACTTTAAGTGTCCAATGGTTCCCTTTCTTTGGTTCCTAATTCCACAGCATAGGACCTTTTCCTCTGGTGCGACTCTGGCGGCCAGATTGGTGAACCCTTCTTGCCCCAGGGTTATTCGTCCAGTTCTTCGGTCTCTGGTTTTCGGGCTTCCGGCTTCTGCATTATCGTCAAAGATCTTCACTACTTCCTTGCTCGGGTCTTTCCAAATAGATTTTAATTATTCCAGTTCCTTGGCTTTGTCTGTGTGATGTCACACAACTTCGCCCGAAAGCTCCCATTCAAGATGGTAGTACCAAGGTTACAGGTAGTACACCCAACCAATCGTCAAATAAATGTTACTGAAACAAATCTTATTTTTCAAAATCGTCACCAGTGAGATTTGAACTCTAAACCTGCCATTTGGAAGGGTGACAACTTACCAACTTCACTAAGTCGCCACACCCCTTCAAAAAATTTTAAAATATATATGAACTTTTATTAGAATCTTTACTTTCAATATTGGCTTCTTTTTTGATTACAAAATATTTTTTGCTTTCAGCTCAACTTGAATTGTAGACCTTGATTATAGAATTTGAAAGCTTAACAAGTAAGCTATAGAACTCAAATCTACTACTATTAGATTTATTTTACTAAGCTTTACAACTTCAATTAAAAACTTAAAAATAATTGTCGCAGCTGATGCTGAAAACAGCTGATGCTGAAATTCGGATCTATTTTGATATAAATTTTTTAAAATTTTTTGGGGTGTTTTTTTCCCGCTTTTTTTTTATAGTTGAGTTAGTGTTTAGGGTTAGAATTGATAATTAACAAGTATATGTGGATTTTAGCAGGGCTTATATTTTTAAATTGAGACACCAAATTTCAGCTTCAGCCGTTTTCAGCATCAGCTGCGACAATAATTAATCTAAGCTTTACAACTTCAATTAGAAACTTAAAGATGATTAACTTAATATAAAAAAGGTTTAGATAGAAGCATATTTGAAAAACTTTAATTTTTATACAGTATGTAAACCATATCTTGTTATACTATAACACTTTTTAGTTAACTAGTAAATTACCAATTAATAATAAAACTAATAATACATTTATAATAAATATTAGAGATGATGCTGAAATTTTAACTTATTTTATTATAAAAATTTAAAATTTTTGAGATGTTTTTGTTTAACTTTTTTTTTTATAATTTAATTAGAATTCCTGACAATAAATAATACTAAGCTAATAAAGACTAAAATTTCTATAATAAAATGCTATAATACAAGATAAACATAAACCTTCTCCGCTGATTCTCCATACACAAAACCACAAGAAAAATACTTCAACAAAACACAAACAGCATTAGGAAACCTAGCCCAAGGCCTTAACATCAGAAAATTTAAATAAACAAAATTTTTTGCAATGTGCAAAAACAATATACTGATTTTCGCTTTCCGGCCCTTATTTGTAAATTCCCCAATATTTTAACCTAACGCAAATTTGACATACGGACTGCCAATTAAATATATTTATTATCTAGCATTGATTAGCTCTATAGTCACGCGTTTATTTGTATTAATTTAATTGGGCAAAATTTTTTTTCTTATTAAATAGATAATCATTCAACGAGTTGTAAAATTTGCTTTTTGGTATATATATATCTTGAAATGTCACCACCTAAAACTTCTGGCAAAAATTTGGAATCCGAAAGTACGTTACAGGCCGTCATTCTTGCTGATAGCTTTAATGAACGATTCCGTCCCATAACCCTTGATAGGCCACGAGTATGATTTTTCTGTGCTTAGAGATTATTTCATACCCCACATTATTATAACGTCGCCTCAACCCTGTAGTGTCTTTTACCACTTTGCAACACACCACTCATTGAATATACCTTAGAACTTCTTGCTGTTGCTGGTGTACAAGAAGCTTATTTATTTTGTAGAGAACACTCTGAAATAATAAAAGATTATATCAAGTAAGTTTTGCAGTTTATTTTTATATAAACTTAGCGATCGTGAGCTTAGCTTTAAATATGAATTAATAAATCCGTTAATTTATCAATCCAGAAAGTCAAAATGGAGTCGATCATATTCTCCAATAAAAATAATTACTATCGTAACGCCTGAAGCGCGTTCAGTTGGTGATGCACTGCGAGAATTAGATGCGAAACAGTTAATTAATTCCGATTTTATTCTCATATACGGCGATGTTGTATCAAACATACATTTAAACAAAGTATTGGATGCTCACAGGTAAATTTTATACCAATTTAACTCTTGCATTTTTTTTCAATTTAAATGTTATAATTAATTTAATTTTATATAAAGAGCTCGAAAATCTGTTGATAATAATACAATAATGACTATGGTACAAAAAATGTTGAATTTACATGTTTTATATTTAAAATGTTAAAAATTATTTTACATTTAATGAATTATATAGGTAGTTAAAGAAGCAAGTCCTTTTCACAGGACAAGGTAATTTATGTTTCTTGGTTAAATTCTGAATTGAAATGTTTCATTAAATTTGTAATCTCTTTTTTTTTTTCCAGATCGTTAGGTGAATCCCCAATTTTCGTAATAGATGGGAAAACTAATGAATGCGTTCATTGTGAATCCGTGGACCTCTATCCGCGTAAACGTCGCATGGTTATGGATATGGAAGTATTCAAAAAGCATACCGATGTTCAAATACGCAATGATCTTATAGATTGCCAAGTTGATATATGTTCAGTAGAGGTAAATAAATTCATAAAGGAAAATTTTTGCTGTTATAATAAATTAATTATCCTGGATTCATATTAGGTACTAGCTTTATTCACAGAGAATTTTGATTATCAAGATATTCGAAAAGATTTTGTTTATGGTATTTTGACATCTGATTTATTGGGGAAAACCATTTATTGCCATCTTGTTAAAGATGTTTATGCTGCAAGAGTACGAAATTTGTATACATACGATGCCATCAGGTTTATAGCAATTTATTTACGGAAACGTTTGTTATGCTTATTTTGTTTCATTGATTGAAAGTATCATTTTGTAATAATTAGTAAAGATGTATTGTCTCGATGGACTTATCCTATTGTCCCAGACAATAATCTTCAAGAAGGAGATAACTATGAGTTTATGCGTGGGCATATTTATAAAGAGAAAGATGTTTCATTATCAAGGTATTTGATGCTCAAATATTTGAAGTTTAATTGTTTATATTAGTAATATTTATTTCTTTATAATTCAATCAGATCCTGCTCACTTGGTGAGAAGGTATTGATCGGTGCCGGTACAGAGATTGCAGAAAATGTTAAGATAACAAATTCTGTCATCGGTCGAAGAGTTACAATAGGTACTTTCCAAAATAATAAATAAAAAAATGAAAATTGAAACTTAAATTTTCTGTGATTTTATTTGTTATCTATATCAGGTCCAAACGTTGAAATAGATGGTGCTTATATTTGGGATGACGTAAAAATCAAATCAAATTGTTCTGTTGTCCAATCGATACTAGCGAATAACGTTGTCTTGGAAGAGAATGTAATCGTTAAAAAAGGGTGCATACTTTCTTATGGTGTAAGTAAATCTTTTGAAATCAATCTTAAATTAAATTGCGGTTAATTATTTAACTCTTTATAATTCTTAGGTAATTATCGGACCCAATGTGACATTAGAACCATATACAAAACTCACAAAACAAAAGAAAGTAGAGATTGATAGTGATGAGGAAGAGTCAAATGAAAATGGTTAGTAACTATTAATGTTGATCTTCTTTAACAAATATTTTCCTAATATTTACAATTGTAGTTTCAGCTTATGACGCTACATTGGTTGGTGAAAATGGGCAAGGATATGTTTGGAGTGATGAGATATCAGATGCAGAAGATGATGAACTTGATGTGAAAAATATTCAAGTTGCGGGGCTTGGTAATTTAATAATGAATATGAAATTTATTATTTTAAATGAGGGTGTTATTAATTCATATTTGTTTAATCTAGCGCATGATATCTCCAATATATCTCTTACTGATAGTGATTCTCCGCCATCTGTGATATACGATTCTTCTTCAGACGAACTAAGCGATTCAGATGAATCATCCACTGAAGAAGAATCTTTAAAAGAATTCTATAAAGAGGTTTCCCAAACACTTGAACGAGCTTTTTTGGATGGTCATACAGTAGACATTGCTTCATTGGAATTAAATACTTTGAGAATGGCTTCAAATACAACAATTCATGATTTACGAGTTAGTGTAATACCTACGATATTAGGGCAAGTCAATATTGCCAATTTTTTAACTAGTACAGAAGATGTAAATATTGTTCAATATAAGCATTGTCATATTGTTTGTGATTTACAATTATTAATATATATATATATCATATATTAATTATTCAGATATTGGATCAATGGGGGCCGCTTATTGGAAAATTAATCCATTCCAAACAAGATCAAATCGATGCTTTATATATTTTGCAGGTATACCTCTGACAACTTTTGTTACTATTACTACATTATTTCAAAGAAATTAAAATTGTCTATTAATTAATGTAAATTAATAATGTAGGACCATTGTGCGAAAACACCGAATCATTCCAAACTTTTCGCTCCGGCAATAAAAAAGCTATATTTTTTGGACGTATTGGATGAGGAAGCAATTCTGGAATGGAATTCATCTGATCTCACTGATGGGGACCCTTCAAAATCTAATATAAAAAAGCGGGTACGCTGTTTATTTTTTATTTAATATATTTAGGGTATTTATGCTAATTTTTTATGTTTTAGGTGGCACCATTTATAAAATGGTTGGAAGAAGCTGAAGTCGAGGATTCTGATGATGATGACTAAAAACAATAGTTCACCTACGTACGAAGTACGAACAATTATTCCCTATAATTCTGGCAATCAAATTTCTAGACCAAGTGTAACATGATTATTGAAATAATAGATCCGTTTTGTTTTATAAATATGTAATAAAGTTGCACGTAAATTAAAGTTAATAAACTGTATAATAGGTGAGATTATGCCTAAAGTTTGAGGATAATGACATTCGCATAAAGTGAAATGTTTTAATTCAAATTGAGATTCAATAAAACGAACATCTCTATATTTGAAATCAGGTAGTCTGACCTTTATCTGTGAACATTCACATTAAAAATGAATAAAATGAAAAGCATAAAGATCAATATAAATGATTATTTTTTTTAAATAGTTAGCAGACATAATAACAATAATAATAATGGTAATAATATAAACACCTTTTTAATATGTCGACAAATTTGCATCAATATGGAAAAATCTTGATCACAAACAAAATCACTAGCCAATTCAATTCTTCGCGTAAAGTTGAAATATGATAATTTAATCTGTCATTATCCATATTCATAACGAATAAAAGAGAATCAAATCCAGGTGAATATTTAGCAAATAAACGAAGCAAAGCATGTATAATTGCATTATAGGATTATTATCGGACGATTAAATAACACACCATTCTTGAACCGAAATTAGATGAAAAGAATCAAGACTTCTGCTAAGTAAAAGATGAAAAGGTTTATTCCATAATATTTGAAAAGAATTAACGCACTAAGCGCGATTAACTAAAATACATGAATGTAAATTATCTGGGTCATTCTCGAAATGGTATAAAGAATCTTAGATGGAGGTCGTAACATCAACAAATAATTTGATAACTATTTTTCAAGAATTTTTTTTGTTTTTACTCGAGACAGAGGAACAAGACGACGATTTAAACATGTGTTATAATACTTTAGAGATTACTTATGATAAATCTTACACGTAATTAGTAAATAGTAATTTACCTCTTCAAAAATATAATTTAGTTTGGATAATTACTACGTTGCTAAACTTTTATGCATTTAGATACATTAAAATAACAATAAAAATCAGTGCTTATAATATTGTAGTGTAGTGTTTGTAGAATAAAAAACATATTCGATATTAAACTTTGATGTATAGTCTAAGTTATCGAAAACTTGCAGCAAAAAAAAACTTTATTTTGATAAATTTAATTTTTTTTAATACTTGAATTAACATTTTGTTTTTTTACATTATACTTATTTGCAACGATATTTAATATACAATTTTATTTATAATAATATTTTAACAAACTTTATTTACAACAAAATTTCGACTTAAAACATCTAACATAAATAAAACTTTATTTATAATTTGACAAAAACTTCAAACTGTTATATCTTCGAAACGATAACTTCAAAGCGATCGAATAAAGTATTAAGTTCCTACCCAGTAAAAAAAAAGAAAGGTGTGAGTGATCGAAAAAACCTATGTGCCCCAGGAGATTGCATATTAACACGCGATAGCAGCGAGAACCATTTAAAAAAATATCTCAACATTCTTAAAAATAGTTCTCCTCGAATAACCGCGCGTATTTACTCGAGGCCACTACCGTCGAAGGTGTAACAGCGGTTACCGGAAGGGCGTCAAGTTATGTATTAACGTAAGATCGATACTCATCTCTTACGCCTCTTCAGCTCGAATATCTTCGAAACGATAACTTCAAAGCGATCAAATAAATTATAAAGTTCCTACTCAGTAAAAAAAAAGAAAGGTGTGAGTGATCGAAAAAACCTAGGAGCCCCAGGAGGTCGCATGTTGACACGCGATAGCAGCGAGAACCATTTAAAAAAATATCTCAACATTTTTAAAATAGTTCTCCTCGAATAACCGCGCGTATTTACTCGAGGCCACTACCGTCGAAGGTGTAATAGCAGTTACCGGAAGGGCGTCAAGTTGATATATTAACGTAAGATCGATACTCATCTCTTGCTCGAGGCGTACGATGTTATAAAAATTAACGACAACAATTTAAAAAGTGTATAATAAAAAAAAAAAAACGGTAAAAAAAAAAAATTAAATGTTGAAAAAAAGTAATAAGAGCAGGTAAAAAAAAAAGTGATCATTATATACCTTTTTTTATCGACACGTTCATTGTTTGTGAACGCGGTACAAATTAGATAAAAACAGATAAACACGATACAAAATAGGTAATCATTAAAAAAAAACAGGTGAACACGGTACAAATTAGGTAATCGTCACAAAAATTTTTCCCAGGCGTGAATGACGATCAAAAAAAACACTGTAATCTAATTGGTTAATATTCGCGTATCAATTTTAGTAATGAAATACCCGAGAAAATAGCTGTGAAAGAATAGTTGTGAGAATAGCTGAAAAATAGTTGTGAGTATAGTACATAGTTTGGTTCTTATAAAAAAATTGCGTTTGGTTATTCATTATAGATTCTGCTAGTGTCTACTGGGATATTCGGTCAACTACGTAAATCAACTTTTTTTTCAATAATTTTACATACTTATAATAATTCTACTATAAAATATGTCTGCTAACAAAAATTTAACATCAATAAAGACATTTAACGATACTTTATTAATTCTATTATAAATATGTTCTTTATTCTTTATATCTAAAATTAATCATCCGAAGTGTTCATAGGTTTGACTGGCTGATGCAAATCGATTGCCTTAGTAACTTATTTATACGTTTTAAAGTACTCTTTTAGAGCACAACGTTTCACTAATAAAAAAAAATTGTATAAAAGAGCATTTTATATCATTTTATAAATCTAAATGATATATAAATATAATACTTGATTCAATCCGTATAAAATAGCTTGTAAGGTTTGATTAGGATATTGATTCCGGATTATTATGTCACTAATATCTATAGACTAAAACACTTATGCGAGTATCTAGCCATTTTCATGCATGTGATTGGGTCACTGCTAATACTCTTATCGGAGATGAGCGAAATTTGTATATTACGTATTAGAAATGGCCCAAGATGAAGAAAATAACCAGTTACTTATGTCAGGAATAGCGACAGGTGCTGATTTATTCACAGCGAATGCTACGTCATATCTCAGCATAACACTAAGTTTAAACATTTAGTAATGAAATATAGTAAATATGTATATCGATTTATAGATTATTTTATATATTTTATACGGTAAATGGTGGTGCTTTTCTAAAACTATTAATAGTGTTTGCGATGAATTTTTGTTGGTGAAACGGTATGTTTTCTGAGGATGATGATGCATTGCACTGGAGATAATACATAATTTTATATATTTAGTATATACAGTCATTTCTATAAATCGAATCAAAAACTCTAGCTGAATTTTTTGAATAAGCCAAAGGGTTCGGTTTAGAAAGTGTGACAGTATTTTCATTTAAGCCAAATTTTAAATTTTAACATAATTTAAAAAAATGAATAAAATTTACAAATAAATTTTACAAATAAAATGTACAAATAAAATATACAAATAAAATATACAAATAAAATATACGAATAAAATGTACAAATAAAATATTAAAATATATAATAAAATATACGAATAAAATATTAAAATATATAATAAAATATACGAATAAAATTGCTACGTAGCCTATCTAATTCACTCGAAACAACTTTTAAAGGTTAAAATATTAAATAATCATGTAAGTAATATAACCTAATATAACCTATATACATACATAAATCCTATTTATGGAATATATAGATGTACATATTTACATAAATTCATCAATATTTTTGTCTTAATCATTTTGCATAATTACTACAGTCAGGGAATATACCATATTTGGTCAATGTAGATCACACCTTATTTAGTAATGATCGTTGGCAGAATTGTTCTAGATTCCGTTTCTAGATTGATCTACAGATTATAGCTAAATATAAAGCCTTTAAAAAAAAATCATTATTAATCAACAGAAATAAAAAAAAAGCTTTATAGAAGCAGTTACCATCGAAATAATTATAATACAAAATCTAATATAACTAGTTTGTAAGAATTTGAAATAATTTAAGCTTGCCTACAAAGTTTCATGTTATAAAAGCATATACGCATCAACTCTGGTTATACCAACACTCCAAAGATAAAAAAATTATTTAGTATATTCATATGTCAGCTTAACCAGAGACATTTTCATAATAAGGATATATCGTAGGTTCAAAAAATTTTTTACAAAAATCAAAACAAAGTGTCGGTTAACTAGAATAATATGTATGAAATAAGTTCAATATTCTCAAGCTACCTATATTAAAATTTCACTTTCAATTTAAAATATAAACCCACTTATGGGTTCCAAATTTAATAAATTTTATTGTAACGCACAATATGAAACTACAATAAATATATAAATAAATAATCTATATTCGCACAACGCCAGTTCTATTTCAATAACGATTATCAAACTTAAATGCGCACTAGTGTCTTCATCTCAATAAAGTTTGAATTAAATGAATGCTTTCATCTTTCAACTTTAATAAA